TCCTAGGGTGACAGAGCCATGGACGTGAGTGGGCACGCGGGGCCGGGAGGGCGCGGAGCTGCTGCTCCCACTGCTGGACCTCCCTCCGGCAAGGCCCTTTGCGTGGGGGGCCTGGGCGCCGGCCGTGCGTTCCCACATAAACGCCAGGATGTCATCCGCTCGGAGCTGCTACAGCGCGTGGTCTGCGGGGAGCATCCACAGCCTGCGCCCGCCCACCCTGACACATGTGGCCCACCCTGGGCAGGCTCTGGGACGTCGGCGGTCTGGGGTTCTGGGCCGTGAGGGATGATGTCTCTCTGCAGTGGACTTGGGGCCTCGGGCTGGAGAGGGGTGCTCCCCACAGCTCGGAGCAGACGGGTGACTGGCAGGAAGCACACCGGGCTCCCCACATGCCCCATCCAGGCTCCCGGTCTGTCCCCGGCCATTCGTGCTGGCCCCTGCTCTTGGCAGGATGATTCTGGGTCAGGGGCACAGCCGAGACCCGGAGGTGGCCTGCACCCAGCCCTGAGGGGACGCTGAGGGGACGGGTGGGACCGTCCCGCAGCCACAGGCAGAGGGGAGGAGGCCTGCCGTGTATCACTTCTGCAGCCTGCTCTGCTGGCCACGTCACGGTGGCTTCTCACAGGGATGGCCCTTCCTGTGTCCACGAACAGGCATCTGCAGAGCAGGTGACGGGCTCTGCTCTGAGGGGCAGGGGACGTGTTTCCCTCCAGCGACAAACCCCACAGCTCTTCTGGGGTGTGTGCGTCGCAGCCACACCCACAGCACAGACACCACGTCCTCCCGCCCCCTCAATCTAAACCCCCCAGAGGGAGGCGGGCTGCTCTCTTCCCACCTGGCAGGCATGAAAACTCTCTTCAGCCAGGACCGACCGAGCCCCTGGCAGGGACACAGCTCTCTGGGGCCCTGGGCACAGTGGAGTGCAGCAGCACGTGGTAAGCGGGGCTGGCACCCATACCTCCAGGTTGATGAAGATGGCCGCCATGTCCGCGGGGCTCAGCACCAGCCTCAGGGGGACCATGTAGTTCTGGAAGAGAGAGCCCGATGCTGCCGTCTCGGCCTCGAGGGGCCGGCCACCTTCCAGGCCAGAGGGGCTCCGATGGCCTCACCAAGGTGGGGGGCTCCCTGCGGGCCCGCCTCCCAGGCCCAGCACCCACCGGTGCTCAGCGCTCAGTGGAGAGCATCCTGGGGAGACCTGGGCCCCGCCCACTGTGGAATGGGCGGGGCCAGGCCTGAGCGTCAATCAGGCCCCTACACTCACCACGTGGTCAGAGCCCCAAGGGGACACTCTGCTTGGTGCTGGACTTGAACCCACAGCAAGCAGGGCAGGTGTTGCTATTGTCATTTGAGACATTTGAGGAAACTGAGGCCCAGGGGGTAGGGGCATCGCCCCAGCGTACCCGTGTGGACGGTGACAGGGCCACGATCGTACACGTGTGGACGGTGACAGGGCCACGATCGTACACGTGTGGACGGTGACAGGGCCACGATCGTACACGTGTGGACGGTGACAGGGCCACGATCGTACACGTGTGGACGGTGACAGGGCCACGATCCCCCTGCAGCACTCAGATCCCTGAGCCTGCACTCTTGGGTTCGCCCCTAAACCTGCCATCAAAAGAGACGCTCTCATCTACGGCCATGCTGCCCTGAACGTGCCCAATCCCATCTGATCTCGGAAGTTAAGCAGGGTCGGGCCTGGTTAGTACTTGGACGGGAGACCACCCAGGAAGACCAGGTGCTGTAGGCATTAAAAAAAAAAGAGACTCTCCAACTCAGCAGCACCACAGCGGCGGGGAGCAGTTCTGCCCAAGACCCCCAGGCCCGCCTTAGGTACGATGTACACACGTGAAACTGTCACCTCCTGCCCAGGGGCCCCTCTGGAGAAGGACCCGCCACCCTCTCCTCTTCCTGGCTGCAGGCCGAATAGTACCCTAAACAGGGAGGGACTTAGATGTCCCCATCACTGGGTCCTACACCACAATCAAAGAATAGCCAGAAAGGTTTTATCTTAGAAATGTTCATTTTTTTTTTATCCCAGTAAGCATTGGCAGTTGGCAATGTGGCTGCTCCAGTGACAGGGAAATGCCACCAGCCGGTGCACACAGGAGGCCAGAGCAGGCTGAGGGCAGGAGAAGGTGCATCGTGGCCCTTTCCCTTGGAGCTCGGCAGGCTGCCAGGGGCAGAGGACTGACCGGCACCTGGTCTGCCACAAGGGCTCACTTCCTCGGGCCTGACTGTCTCAAATTCAGGACACTCACAGCCACCTGTGGGGTGATAATGCCGTCATCCCAATGTAGAGAGCGGCTGAGCGCAGACGGCGCCCTAGGTGACAGAGCCAAGGAGCTCCTCGGGCCTGACTGTCTCAAATTCAGGACACTCACAGCCACCTGTGGGGTGATAATGCCATCATCCCAATGTACAGAGCGCGGCTGAGCGCAGACGGCGCCCTAGGTGAGAGAGTATACAGAAGGAGCTCAGCTCTGGGTGGGAGCGCATACAGAAGGAGCTCAGCTCTCGGTGGGAGCGCATACAGAAGGAGCTCAGCTCTGGGTGGGAGCGCATACAGAAGGAGCTCAGCTCTGGGTGGGAGCGCATACACAAGGAGCTCAGCTCAGTGGATTCAGAGCAGAAACCATTATGACCCAGTTTAGGCTGGAAGGAGCCAGAGAACAGCTCAGAGTGATGGACCGAGGCCCAAACTGAGGGCCGAGGGGCAGGAGGCAGGAGCAGGGACAATGGGGCGGTCGACAAGGACATCGGCCTGGCCGGGGCCCGTGGTTCCAGTCGGGGACAGAGGGCGCAGAGGAAGTGAGGGGAGCCTCCGTTATGGGGGAGGGGGCCTGATGGCAAGGCCGAGAGGGCCACTGAGCACTGCCATCCCTCACCGTTGCCCTGGTCCCCTCCCAATGACAGGACCCCCCAGGAGACCCCGTGGCCACCGGGAAGAGGCCCAAGCCCCGCCCACCTTCTCGATGTCCTCCAGGGTCCGGTAGTACTTGGCCTCCGTCTCCTGAATCTCCAGCAAGCAGCAGTTTCTCTTGTCATCCTCGGTCATGCCCATTTTCTAGGGGACAGACGCACGATGCCTGCTGACCACCGGGGCTTGGCCATGGGGCCATCGAGTGTGGGGCCAGATGGGAGACAGAGGGACCCAAGCCCGTCCCCTCCCTTTAGCAGAAGAGGAGATTGAGCCGCGGGGAGAGGACGTGGCATGAACCTGGGAACCAGTGACAATGGAGGCTTCCAGACCAGGGGGACGCCCTCTGAAGCCACCTCCTCCATCATATACAGCAGGTGCGGCATACTTAAAACACCCACTACGGGCACAGGTATACAGCAGGTGCGGCACACTTAAAACACCCACTACGTGCACAGAGATATACAGTAGGTGTGGCACACTTAAAACACCTACTACGTGCACAGGAATATACAGCAGGTGCAGCATGCTTAAAACACCCACTACGTGCACAGAGATATACGTAGGTGCGGCACACTTAAAACACCCACTACGTGCACAGGGACAGGCCGTGACCAGCTGCCTGGAGACCCACACCTGCCAACGGGGCGCGCGTCCCAGCATTGGCCAGGTGGTGCCTCAGAGAGACACCAGTTCCTGGTAGGGCTGGACCCCAGGTGTTTGGTGACCTCCAACCAGGGACCTGGGATAACAGCCCCTGGCAGGGGTCACTGGAGGACACGCCTCCGTGCCAGGGCCTATCCCCTACCTCTGGGAGAAACGTGGCCGGGGCTGGGACTGACCAAGAGCCTGTGCAGGGAGGAGGCAGTGGGGGTGCCTAAGGGCAGTCACGCTCCTCAGGGCCTTTCGGGCTGAGCCTCATCTGCCCGTGAGTCGGGCTCTGGGGAAACGGGGCTGGGACATGTGACATGGCATTTGGACTCATCTGCGCTAACGCCACCCTCCTCCTCTTCCTCCTCCTCTAAGAAACACGCTGGGGGCCGGGCGGGGCAGAGCCTGGGGTCAGCAGCTCCCCAGGCTCCTTCCGAGGCCACAGCCCCGCTCGGCCTGGGGCAGCACTGCCCTGGTCCCCTGGAAACTGCGTGCAAAAATGGCGTCTGACAGTGTCTCCCTGGGGACAGGGGCCCGAGTGTGTCCAGAGGCCCGAGACTTCCCAGGGCGGTGGAGGGAGACGGTGTGGTGGCCCCCTCCCCACAGCCTCCCCGCCCGCCACTCACCTGCATGTACCTAATCTGAGAGCATGGAGAACAGATGGGAGAAAGAACCAATCAGCAGCGCTGGCTCGCTGAGCAAGCCGCGCGTGGGGGAGTCGGGACCCTCGTGCGCATTTACGTGACAGCCACGGGGACCGCACCGCAGCCCCGCCCCCGCCCGCGCCGGCCTGGCTGGGTGTGGACGGACGGCGCTGGGGCCACGCGCTTCGCCAGCCCGTCGCACGTCTGGGCTGCGAGCGAAACCTGCCATCATCCTCCGGCCTTCTCGTCCTCTGAAAGGCCATCCTCCTCATTACCTTGCACTTAAGCTGCCCAGATAGCTCTGGACATGACACGGAATGAAATAAAGCCAGCCGTTTTATCTCAGAGGACGCGGCAGGAGGCTCGCCTGCACAGAAGACAGGACACTGAGCACAGGGGGCAGGTGGGGTGCTAGCGTGTCCCCAGGGCACAGGCGGGCATCCGCTCCCAGCCCCCGCAGACCCTGCCAACAGCCCCAGATCCTGTCATGCGCGCTCCAGGACCACGGACAGCAGTGACCTCTCGGGAGAGCCAGCCCTAGGGCCTCTGTGGCCTGGGCACAGATGGGGGTCCCTGGGGAGCTTGTATGGCCTGGGGGCCAGGGCGCCTCCGGATAACCACAGGCCACCACATATACACGCTCTCACTTTACCCAGAGGACACCCAGCTCCCAACGGGCTTGGGGACGGGGGCGGCCGTGGCTCTGGGGGCGGGGCAGGGCCCTCCAGCAGCAGGACCCCGGCATGGCCGTCCTGCCCCCAGCACACGTCCCAGGGAGGCTCGGGAGCAGAGCCGCCCCACTGCAGGGATGCCGGGTTGGGCCGGGCCGGGCAGAACCGCCCCAGGCGGACCTCGGCCACAGGCCCACGGCCGACTCTGCGGAGCGAGACCCCTGGGAACTGTGGGCAAGAACACCCACCTTCAGACCCTTTGGGGCAGAATGAGGAGCCTGTTCCTAGGAGTGGAGTTTGGGGGCCATGCATGCCACTGCCCGGCACATCTGCGTCTCCCCCGTGTGATGCTGGTGAAGGTGGCAGTCACCACCGGCGGGGACGGCCCCTCTGAGAGGCCTCGTTGGCCAGCTGGTCCCCCCCGCAGGGAAGGACAACACTGAAATTTGCTTTCTGAGAAATTCCCCCATCTCTCCGGTGAAAGCGAATAGCATCGAAAGCCTCCATAGTCGGCCAGCGGCACCCTGGCCACCCTGCGGAGTTTGGAGCCCAAGGGGGCTGTGGCCTGTCCCACCGAGTCCCCACCCCCCGGCCCGGCAGGGGCCCCCCTTTCTGCACAGCAGCTGCTGGCAGTAGATGTGCATTGCAGCCGAGTGGCGTCGGAGACCTGATCGGAAATAAACACCCTCACCACACAAATGACACGCAGCTGGCTCACGGCCGATGGCGTCCCCCACGCCCGACAAAGGGGGAGGAGGGGCGAGCGGCGTGAGGCTGAGCGCGAGCCGCTGCGTGAGGCTCCCCGGGCAGGAAGGGCCGGAGCCCCACGCGGCCCTCGAGAATTCCATGGCGACGCGTCCCAGAAGGACGATGGCAGTGGCCTCCCGGCCCGGTCCCCTCAGGACGTGTCACGGGGAAGAAGGGCCCACGGCAGGCGGGGACCAGGGCCAGCAGGACGGGGTGCGGCCTCGGGGACCCGACGCCGGGCGCGGGCGGCTCACCATGGGCTGCTGCACCTCCACCTTGATGATGTCCTCGTAGATGTCGTCACCGTCGTCCTCGCATGGCACGCAGTCGTAGATGTCCTCCCCCAGGTCATGCTCGCTGCACGGGAGGGACGTGGTCAGGGTGGGGCTGCAGCTAGGTGCGCCAGGGGCCTCGCAGGGAGAGCAGGCGGTCAGAGCCACGGCCAGCTCCTCCCCGCTGCCTCCCAGGCAGCGTGCAGAGCACCGTCTGGCACTTGGCCCACTGTCCTTCTAGAAGCACCTACCATGATAAGGCCCCTACTTCTCCAGACACACTCAGAGGCCCCAGGGTGAGATCGCCCCACCTGAACCCCGGCTACGGGCCGAGCACCCTCTTCCCGGCCGCGCCCGGGACCCACAGTCGCCCAGCCCGGGTCCTCCCAGCGTGGAGGTCAGGGTGCAGTGCTCACCCGGGGACATCTACCCCACCAGGCGCCAAGGGAGTGGACAGAGAGGGACACAGCGTGAGGCGCCTTCGCGAATGAGCACGAGGAAGTGGCCGCTTTCGATGAGCCTCTGATTCCGCTCGTGGCCACACCTGGACTCTGGGTCCTTGCCCCTGCCCCGCACAGCGGACACTGGGGGACACCTCCTCCAGGAGGCCTTCAGGACCTGGCCCAGTCTGCAACTGGGTCTTCTCCCGGGTGGCCTCGTACAAGGTGCACCCCGCTCACTGCGTCCCCAACTGTTTCATTAAAGGGACTGAGATGCGTCTGTCCCTTCCCCGGACAAGACCCAACTCCTTAATCCCTCTGATCACCAGCCCGAAACACAGCAGGGCTCGGCATCGCTTCACGGGATCCCACGGGCCAGGACAAGCCCCCTGCATGGGTGTCACTCTGGCCCAGGGTTCCAGCCCCACGTGCCCTTGGCTCTCTGCGTGAGGACACACCTCCTAGCCTGGGTTCAAAGCAGGGCTTGATTCTGAGACGGCATCAAAATGTGGGGGAGCACTCCCCATATCACCCCACAGATGGCCACAATTCAGGGCATGTGAGGGACGGAGGGCGGTGTGGGCAGCAATGACATCCAGTAGCCCCTACGCATGGGCTCCTGGCCCCCTCTCAAGTGAAGCTTTTCAACACAAGCTGTCACTTTATAGCCTGGGGGGCGAGATAGTAGAGATCATTCAAGATCTGCTTGAGAGGGGGCGGGTCCACATCCAGAGAAAGCCTCTGCAGCCAAAGGGGTGTCCCCAAGGCCCTGCGCTCACCCCCCCGTGGGACCCAGCTGCAGCATGACTGTGGCGTGGGCATCCGGACCTCCATCTGGGAGCGGGGACCAGCTCCCGTCCAGACTCGGCCCACGCAGGCTGCTCCGGGCGCCTGGTGCTCCTCAGCACCCGCGTGCACGGAGCTCGCTGTGCTCCCAGCCCACGGGCCTGCGCACTGGGACATGACGAGCCACCACCACTGCTGGGCCCGGCTGTGGCCCACGCCCTCGGAAAGCATTTCCATGTTCTAACCACACGCCCGGGGAGGTGGAGGGCCCTGGGGCCACTTCGCAGGTGAGAGCACACAGCCCCCTGCCGGGCGCCCTCCCCCACAGCTGTCTGGACGTGGACAGTCCGGAAGTCACACTGGGATGCAAAGCAGTGCCCAGACGGTGACAGAGGCGCCCCTCGGAACCTACGTGAAGGCGGGGAGGGTGTCTGTGACGCGTGGATTCTCTCGCCACCTTGGAGGTCTGTCCCCTAGGCGGGCCTGGGCAGCGGTCACTCGTTGCCTTCCTGCCTCTCCAGACACTGTCCCAAAGGACAGGGTTCGGAGAAACACTGAGGCCGTCCGCCGACCACGGGGCTCCCGCAGCTCTGCCCACCAGGTCACTGGGGGTCCAGGCAAGTCCCTGCAGGCTTTCTTTCCAGCAAAAGCCAGCCACCCAGATTTCTGTCACTCAGCAGAGCGAGGCTGGTGACAAAGCCACTGTCAAGAATGGTGACAGTGTGGAACAGGAGAACCACAGAAGCTTCCAGGCTGCTAAATTAGACAACTCAGAGGCAGATGAGGCCATGAGTACCGTCTGGGCACAGGTGGCTCTGCTCCGATGGGCTAGTGGAAGGAAGCAGGGGGTCGCGGACACGAAGACAGTCACACAGCCTGAGGGCCGATGAGGCGAATACAAATGATGGGACGCAGACCAGGCAGGGGCCTCGAGGCCACCCGGGCAGGGACGCCAAGCTGCCAGCCTAAAGGCCCCGTTCCCTGTACCACATTCAGACCGACACCAAGACTCTGTCCCACCCCGAGCACAGGCCATGACGCCCCCACTCCACACAGCGCCCCAGCCCATCGGTCAGAGCGGAGACCCAACCGCTCACTTTCCCACCTGAGCCCGAGCCTCTGCCGGGCACATGATGCCGGGGACCTGCCAAGGCCTCGGGGTCTCCTGGGGCACGCATCCCCGTCCCCTGCCTCCCACTCTGCCCCTGGCCACCATGATTTCTCTCGCTCAGTACCTGACGACGGGCCAAGTGCTGGGTCGGCACTGCAGGGTTTGGAGAAACACTGAGGCCGTCCGCTGACTGCGGGTGAAGCGGGCACCGGCCCCACTAGGAGCCCGAAGAGGAGCCACGGCATTTTAAGGAGGAAGCGGACAGGGGAGGCTGGAGGGGCCGAGTCCCTTCCCCAGCTGCCTCTTCCTGGCGCCACCTGTAAGTCGGCACCCGCTCGGCCCTACCTACCAACGCCTGCATCGACAGGACACACACCCCTGCGTTTCCGGCCCAGGCAGAGCGCCTGCCAGACATTCGCCATGGTTTCGCTAAGGTTTGCAGAGGTCAAGGTGCAGCCTTCGCCGTTGCACCATTTTGGGAACTGGATCCCCACGTGTAACCCGCAGCCACGGCGCTACGGAACCGTCTCCCGTCACTGAACGTCCCCCGCCTTCCCGCTCTCCTGGCACCTGGCCTCCCGACGGCTCTCCGGCACACATCGGCCGCGTCTGTCCTAGAAGGCAGCATCGACAGCACTGAGCGTAGGGTCCCTTTTGCGTCTGGCTTCTTTGTGCCGAGTGCTGACCCACTGCGTGGACGTACCGCAATGTGCCATCCAGTCTCCTGATGAACATTCGGGCTGCTTCCAGGTCGGTTTGGGTTTTCGTAAATAAGAGCCGCTCGGAGCGTGCGTGCGTGCGCGTGTGCGTGCATGCGTGTGCGTGTGCGCGTGCGTGTGTGCGCGCGTGCGTGCGTTGTGCGCAGACGACTGCTCTCATCTTTGGAAACGAAATGCCACAAGGAGTGGCATCGCCGGGTTGAGCGGGGTGTGTGTGTGACCTCGGCAGCAGCTGCCACGCGCTTCTGTGACGTGGCCGTGGCACCCGCGCCCCCGCAGCCTGCGCCTGCACGGGAGTCCCCGCCGCTCCGCGTTGCTCAGCTCTGCTGGGGCTGGTGTTTTTGATTTTAGCCGCTGGACGGGGTGTCTAGCGAGGCCTCGCCGCGGTTTCATTGTGCGTTTCCCTGACGACTAACGACGCGGAGGACTTTTCCGTGTATCACGGGCATTTGTGTATCTTCCTTTGTGAAAGTCCTGCTCAGGGCCTTTTGTCCATTGGTAGAAATTTGCTGCCTGTCTTTTCCTTATCGAAGTCCGTGAGCTCGTGATGTATTCTGGATGCAAATCCTTTGTCAGAGAGGTTTTGTTAACTTTTTCCCAGTCTCTGGGTTCGGCTACTTATTTTTTTAATGTTCTCTTTCGATAAGAATTCTTTCTTAATTTTAACGAAGCCTTATGTATCAAATGTTTCTCGTACGGTGTTCTGACTCCGTTCCGTGTCCTAAGAAATGCTTGTATCTTGTGTAAGAAATCTTTGCTTTTTCCAGGCTGCAAAAAAAGGTCTCTATATTTTCTTCTAAGAGTTAGTTCCAGCGTCTCCAATCCATCTCATTAATTTCTATGTGTGGTGTGAGGTAGACCCTGAGGTTCATTTTTTTTTCTCCCACGGAGATATTCAAGTGTTTCAGGACAATTTGCTGAAAACTTTCTTTTCCCCATTGGACGGCTCAGATCCCTTTGACGAAAACCCAATGGCCACAGCAGCGGGGGTCCACTGGGGAATGCTTGCGCCTGTCCCATCGACCCATCCATCTATCCTTAGGCCAATAGCACTCTGTCTCGATCAGTTTTATAGAAAGTCTCAAAATGGGGTCGTTTAAATCAGATCGGGCAGTTTTCTTCTTTTATGAGAGTGTGGAGGCCATTCTAAAGTCCCTTGTGTTTCCGTATAAACTTCACAGTCATCTTACCAATGAAAAAGACGCCTGCCGAGGTCGCTGTAGGAACGGTATTAACTCTACTGTTTACTCCGGAGAGAACGAACGTCTTAGCAACGTCGTCCTCCAATCCATGAACATGGTATACGCTGTCGTGTACTTAGGTCTCTGCTCATTTCCCTCAGCAATGTTCTGCAGTTTTATCACAGAGGTTCTCGAGTTTAAGAGGTTTGCGGCCACTGTTTTTACAGTTTTTACAGTCTGCCTCAACCTCTCTTCTCACTCTGGGATTCCAATTACAGCTGCATTAGGCCACTCGATATTGTCCCACGTCTGAGGCTCTATTCCTGTTTCTCGATCTGTTCTCCCGTCTTATTTGGAGCAGAGAACTTCCACTGAACTGTCTTCAAGCTCAGCGACTACTCCGTCTGCCACCTGCATTCTCCCGTGAGGCCGACCCAGTGACTGTTCATTTCGGTTATCGCCCTGCTCAGTTTTAGAATTTCCATTTGGCCCTTTTTTACGGTTTCTATTTCTCCGCTGAGGCTCCCCATCTGTTCATTCATTTGGCGCATATTTTCCTGTAAGTCCCTGACCATACTCAGAAAAGCCAATTGTAACATGTGAGTCATCTCAGGACTGGGTCCTATTGACTCCGTTTTATTCCGAATATGACTCGCTCCTTCCTGTTTCTTTGCGAGTCGGATCATTTTTCATTGGACACTGAACATCCTGAATGATACATTACAGAGACTGGATCCTCCGGCTTCCTCTGAAGAGTGATGTGTGTCCCAGCAGCTAACTTAGTCAAACTCAAACAGGGGGCAGCAACCGACACAGCTGCCAAACTCAGTTTCCAGCTGAAATTTTTG